GTTTTTTTTTTTTTTTTTTGGGGGTTTTTTTTTTTTTTTTTTTTTCCCACTTTCTTGGGTTGTATGAGAGTTTAAGTTGGCTTCTGCTTGTCTTTCATTGTAACCCGTCGTGGTTATAAATATTTAATGTCAATACAAAGTCTCCATTTGGACTCAATAGTGCTTTTAATCTAATGTTTATCTTTGCAAATAGCAGCAAAACATTAGTCTATCGTTTTAAAACCCTTGGCGAAAATTTTTGTAAAAAAAAAGTAAGAAAGCTTAGTGAGCATCGTTTGCATAAACCAATTAACATCTAAAATATAATTATCTCAAAAAAAAAAAAAAAAAAAAAAAAAAAAAACATATGGAAGAATTTTGCTAATGCGCAAAGGAAGTCGAAGCCCAAGTAGAAACTCCTTTTCCTCTTGTGTGTTATTATTATTACATTAATTTTCTTGGTTTATCCTTTCCTAGTATACCGAAGAATACCCAGCCACCATCATGGCTGATCTTCATAACCAGTTAGGACTTGTGTTTCAAGTTTAACTACACTTTACGATTAGTTACCATTTTCAAAAGCACTAGTTTTTCAAGACCGCACGCAACTGTCAAGTAACCGCTTGAAGTAGGAAACAAGATTTGATGCTCTTCTTAGCACGTGTATAGCTGATCTGGGAGAGTTCTAGCTATAATTGTTTGTTATTCGTCTAACATGTCGTACATTTTAGTATTTTAATTTTTATTATGCTTTTGATATGTCAGGTATAAATAGTAGCATTTAGACTTAATTATCGAAATATTAAATACTAAAGTTATTTTTCTCTATTAAGGGTGTGTTTTTAAAGGTGTGTTTAGAGTTGCTTTTAAAACTTCTAAAAACACTTCATATAATAAACGATTCAATTATAATGTTTAATAAAAATATATAAAAATATTTTACATATAAATCAATGCACTTTTTAAGTTATTTTGAGAAATTAAAATGTGTAATTTTTAAATTCTATTTCTATTTTTACTTTAAGTAAAAATAATATTTCTATTAAAAACACTAATTATTTTTAACCAATAAGAACATATATTTCAGTGATCTGTAGCAATTCTTTGTGTAAAAAAAGACAATGAGAATGCAAATCATAGTTAAAATGCCCGTTTAGTTCGTTGATTCGAGTTTTTAATTCGAGTTGAGATGTGATTTTATGCGATAGCTTTTTACTGTAATAAAAAAATTAAATGTAACTGTTTATGAGAACTTTTTATTGTAGCAAAACTCGAATCAGAGAAATAAACGGGACCAAAATATACCAAACAAGCCCTTAAACATTTTCTCCTTTTGCCATGGAGTTTCCCATTCCACGCAACAGCGCAAGATAATGCGTTCAACAACAAAAGCAAATGATTTCTTGCATTGAAGAAAAAAGGACCAGAAAAGGAAAAACACCAAAGCTGAAGATTTTCCCCACGCAAGTTTGAAAAGGTAACAAGATGCCACAAAGCCAAAGCCAAATAGTTGATAGATTTAGGGTGGAATCTAGTTTATTCTCTCCACCATTGTTTTTGTCTGAACCCTTTTTTTATTTTTTTCTCTCCCCCTTACGTACATACATGCTCATAACTTTCAATTGCATTAACGAGGATCAACACGCACCCGGGCTTGATGAAAATTTTCAGACAACACACTCTTCAAAGTTCAAAGTAAGCACTGAAACATTGATAAAGCAACCCAATTGACAAGGATACAAAGGATGCTGATTAAAAAGATAAGTTCAACTCAAGAAAAGCAAGTAGAATAAACAATCTAATAAAATCCCACAATTATCTCAGACATTGTAACAAGAAAAACAAAACTGCTATTCAACAAAGCCTAGGGCAATGCTATATATCGTCCTTCAAATCTCAGCTCTTAAATCCTGCAAGATAGACAACATTTCTCTTTCCTCAAGATTGATTTGAGCTGGTTGGCCCCGCACCATAACCACCTGCTCCACGGCCAAAGCCGGGTCTTCCACCAGGACCCTGCAAGTTTTAGAAGCGTAGATGAGATGCATGATCAAAAGTAGCACACCTTGTATCTTAAAGGAAAAACCTAGTTTGGGCATAATCTGCTTAACTCCACTTAAACAAGCAATTTTAGAAAGCAGCAAATACTACCTAAATGATCCTTTATTTAAGACTTATGAAGAAATTGAGACTTAATATTAATCTTCTATTCTATAGATAGTATCTTTTATTCAGTAATTCAACTTCACTAAGCTTTTCATTACCCGTTGGGTTGGCATTGATAGAGCAAGTCGTGCTATATATTAGTAACGATATCCATAGAATAAAATAGCTTCTAATATAAAATGCAAGTGGAATCCATCGAAGATAAACTTACCCCGAAAGAAGGCCTGTAGTCAGCCGGGGCTCCGCCCTTGTCACCAAAGTCACCACCAGGGCCACGAGGACCTCCACGGTACCCATCACGGTCACCGAACCTGCGCTCTCCATCGAAACGAGGAGGGCCACTGATTCATCATAACAAACAAAAGCCGATTCAAATTTCAGTGGATAAGATAACATCAATAAAGAATTAGGAGGGTCTATGAAAAATGCACGATCCTATGCAAATCAAACAAATGCGTCAAGAATGTTGATCTCAAATTACCACCAGGTATAAACGCAATACCTTGGAATCACCACAAATAAAAAAACTCAATCAAAAAGATCAAAAACCCAATTCAACTTAAATAAGAAGCTTAATTACATAAAAGTACTATTTCAATCCACCAACAAAACACGAGACAAGAATTACCACAGAATCCATCATTACTAAAACGTAGCTCGAGAATACTAATACAGCTAAAATAACAAGCTCAATTACATAAACCAATAAATCAATCCAAACCATCAACAAATAAACACTAGAACATAATTCTCCTAAATCCACTAATACTAACAAACGAGTCAAAAATATCAACAATATAAACCAAAAACGAATCCAAATCACTACCAGTTAAAACTTAAACACAAGAAGCAAAGGAATTACCGAGGGCGGTCGCCCCCTGGGCCACCGAGGGGCCTGCCGGCGGGCTTGGCCTGCTTCTTCAAGGTAGCAGGGACGATCTCAGAAGGAAGGTTGAGGTAGGTCCTCAAAAACTCGATACCATCGTTGGTGAGGTACCAGTAGTAGTGCATCCAAGCGAAGGTCTCGCGCACATACTCCTTCGACTTGAAGCTCTGCATTAGCTTTATCACCTGCAAGTTCGGCACATCGATCTCTGGATGCTTCGCCAGGTTATAGTCCTTCTTGGCATAGCAAACTCCCTCTGAAAAAAAATCCAGAAAAGAAAAGAAAATTCAAATATTTGTTCTGCGAAAAATCCAACGGAAAACCTAATGAAATCTTTTGTTTTTTTGTTTTTTTTTGGTTACCTTGGAAGAGGTACTTGGAGATCTCGCGGCGATTCTTCTCTGAAATGATCTGAATGAAAAGAAAGAGAGATTAGACGAATCGTTCCATAAGGATACTGTGTGGCAGCCGAGAAAACGTCGGAAAACAAAATGGCAGAAAAATAACAACCACTAATCTGAACAACGAAAGAAAATTGAACGGAAAATTAATTGGTTACATGGTTATACCATGATTGCGAAGAACGAGAATGGCGATTAGGGTTTCGGCGGCAAGGGGATACTGGTAAGCTCTCTCTCTCGCACGAACTCTTATCGTCTGCTGAGGAGAAACCCTAATTCTAAAGATGGTGCAATTTATAATTGGTTTTTCTAGGCTACGGGCTTGGTCTTGTTCCGGTCCAACTTTTTGGGCCTAAAGTCGGTCTGTTAGGCAATAATTTGGGCCTAAAACGGGCCCATCAAGTTGGTCCTTGTAGTATGTGGCCCATATATTGATCAGACCTTAGCCCGAGGCCTTGCCGTTAAATAACAAAGTTCTAAGGGGAAAGAAGAAATTTATCACTTAGGAGTTAGAGTGCGTTGGTCGATTTTTACAATTACTTTTAATTAATATTCTTTTTAGACAAATAACTATATTAATTAAAAGAGTATTAATTAAAAGTAGTAGGTAAAAATTTAGACCCGTGCATCCTAAGGATAAGTTCACCAATTTTCTCAAGTTTTCTAATATTAAGAGAAAAAAACATGTGAAAAGAGGTAAATAGCTATTTCTGTGCAATAAAAAACATAACCAGATTTTTTAATTTTTGAAAAGCTAGTACATAGCCGAATTTTTTAAAATTTTAAATTTATTGGAATTATTCCATGGTCAGATTTGATAAAATTTGGGATTTAACTCACCATGAACAAACACGACAAATTAAACACATAATTACCAATATTTATTTGATATTTACTATTTTTTTTGTTTATATAATATTCTCTAGTTTTTAGTTAATAATATCATTTTATTTATCCTTACAAATCTTTCTTATAGATTAAATTAACCATTTACTACAAAATTGTAATAAAATAGGCTAAGCTGTAGTTTATTGCTTAGTCTGGCTTTTACTACATTAAATATTTTAAAACAGGCTATTTACTATAGTTTCCCAAAAAAAAAAATTCCCATCCTGTATGAAAATGTAATAGGCCAAGAAATCGAAACTGTAGTAAATATTTTAAAACAGGCTAATATATATATATATATATATATATATGTCCTCATACGTTTGATTATTAAACTAGAAATCGAAACTGGTGATGTTCAAAGGAAAAATATGAAATTTGTCTGCATTATATGTCACTGTTGTTATATATATATATATATATATTATTGTATTTATATAGGAAAATAGAAAATAATTTCACGAAAGAGGAAACTCGGGCCTCTTATGCATTAAACTCCAGTAAGCAAAAAAAAAAAAGAACATAGAGGAAAAAATCAAAAAACTTTGGACTACAATTTAATCATCAACACCATGACAAACAAAATAATAAATGAATAATAGATCGATCATCAGCGGGTATTCCATCAACTTTCAGAGTGCTTTAATTTGCTGCACCTTGCCGCAAATGTCGCCCCTCTTTATTCTTGGGATCCTCATCATCAGCTGTTTCCAAACACCACCAAATTAATAAACATACATTAATCGCCATGCACGCGCATATATTTCATATGCACATTTTCTCTCATACATTAACATATACATGATAATCATCACATCCTCACCATTCAAAAAATAACCCAAAAAAATAAAAACAAATCAACAAACTGTGTTTTTTTTTTTGTTAATTATAACTTATAGAGACGAATTAGGAAAAGAAGACACTCCCAAATTGGACGAAGATGTTGGTGCGTTAATATTAATGTTACTTTCTCCCACGCCAAGCGACCCCGATTCGACCACGACATTTTCCCAGAAAAGAAAATTGTTTGAGCATTGCGCTTGTTGGGATTCAACCCACTCGTTCATCAATTCCTGTCTCTGCAAGCAATCCAAAGCGATTTGATCGCCTTCTTCGACGTGAACCATGTTGTCCATGTTCTCTATCAAAGGAGGCAAGTAGCTAATGTTCATAGTAGCACTTGAAAATGGTGGCACCACCAGTGAATTAGGAGGCAGTGCTTGGACTTGGTGTTGGTTCAGATTCCACGACGACGGCGACGACGATGTTATCGTGTCGGAGCTCAAATTTCCCATTGTTAGAATGTCTTGAAAGAGCTCTCCACGCAACGTGTTAGTAGTAGTAGTGGTAGTAGTAGTAGTGCTATCCGTGGCCGCTTCAATAGCTGCGGTGTCAAACATGAATAGAGGCCATGAAGATGAGAAAAGAGCTTGGTGGTCTTGGACCGCGGTATTAGGCTTGGTCAAATCTTGTGTTAGGAAGTCTAGTTGGTTTGTCATGTTGTAACACATTTGAGGATGATGATCTGTGCTACTAGGCGGTGTTGCGGTAATGCCCGTCGTCGAAGGTGTGGAAGACGGTTTTCTTATCTTCTTCTTGATCCATGAGTTCCAGTAGTTTTTTATCTCATTGTCTGTTCTACCGGGTAGGTGACTGGCTATGTGAGCCCATCTATAAACATTAACCATATATATATATATATATATATATATATATCGCATGTTAGAACATATGGGGGTATAGAAACTACAACGGCAAATAGAGAACGAATTGAAACACCTATAATTAATATTACTAGCTCATAGCTATGATTATCATGATCAACTAGTTAGGAATTTTTGTAGAAAAATGTGTAAGCCTCGAAGTTCACATACACTACATGTTTTTGGCTAAAGAATCAATAATGAAGCTTAACGTTGCTATTTGATTTAGAGTACTATTAAGAGGAGAAAAAAGATTTTTTTGGGAAAAAACTATCTTAGTAATGATACTATATATATATATATATATATATATATATACACTCAAAGGAAGACAAATTGAGGAGTTTTTTTTTTTTTTGGCTCGGAGAATTGATTCTTAATAACTAGAACAAGGTGCAAAGCACGGGAGAGATCATGTAGAACTAACTTCCACACAAAATTTCCATTGAAATTAGCTCTTAATTGATTCTTAATCTGTGTATATAATATATATATGCGCTTATATATATGTAATCATAAGTAAGGGTGTGATTTAGATTGTCTCAGCCTGCTGGCCGGCAAGTGAGATATATTAAACATAGGCATATAGCTAGTCAATATGGCATTATTAATACATAGTGCCAAAACTTAACACGAAAGTTTATTAATTTGGAAGAAAAAAGAAGTACTAATCAGTTAGCTAGAAGTCCATTTTCACTTAAGTTGCTTCTAAACACCTCTTTGATACGTGCCATTAATTCTAAAAAAAAAACAAATCCACGTGATTCATTTAGGAACTATAATATTTCGTATTATATTAAGCAAGAATAGACTGAATATGTAGTTAAGTGTATAGTTTCTTAAACCTGTTCCCCACAACCCCATGAAGGCTAATAATCAACTTCTCCTCCTCCGGAGTGAATCTGCCTCTTCTAATATCAGGCCTCAAATAATTAATCCATCTCAAACGACAACTCTTACCACACCTTTGAAGCCCTAAACAAAATATCACAAGCGACAAAAACTTAATCAACAACGTCTTAGTTCATAAAGCCAAAACTGATATATATAGTAGATATAATTATATGATTTGAACATAAATTTAAAATTTTTTGGAGAGAAAATACTGTAGCAGAAAGATTAATTTGAACTGTAATTTAAACCAGTGATACAAACGGGTGCTAACCTGCTTTCTCAGGAACTTCACTCCAGCAGCCATAGCCATGGGTGGTGATGTATCTGATGAGCTTCTCATCTTCTTCAGGAGACCAAAGTCCTCTCTTAACCTTCTGTTGGTTGCAGCAAGAGTGGTGACCCATGTTGACTCTAGGGCTAGTTGAAATGTAATACCTTATGAGTTTCAGGTGAAACTCTTAATTTTCTTCTGTTGAAATATCTTGATCTGGGTATAGTTTGTGTGAGGAATAGAAACTGATCAAATTTATAAATAGCTCTTGCAAAAGAGTAGTAGTTTTGGGCCTCCTCTTTTTCTCTCTCTCTCTCTCTCTCTCTCTCTCCCCCCTCCTTTAAAAGTAAATCACAAGTACAAAAATATTGTGAGCCGACATTTACAACCGGCAAAATGGGGTCCACAAACGACGGGACCCAGATCTCCATCTAACCCTAAAACGACACTCCATCAACTTCTCTTCCAAAGTTACTATTTTCTACGTACATTTGTATTACGTAACCAACTCTCCACGTACTCAAAACCTCGTGCCGGTGGGTTTCACACATTTTCTGCTGACACCAGTCACATTATGACACGTTCCATGGATGGCCCCACAAATTGCAGCATAATCGGACAAAAATATAACGGAGTCTAATTATCTTATCGGAGAAATTTTACCGTGTACATAAAATAGAGTACGTATTAAATGTTTTACATAAATTAACCGTTAGGGTTTATAAAGATTGTGTTAAACTTTTACATAATAATCAATTTGGCTTCCGATACTTGTTCAGAAGCATATGCAACAAGTATGTATGTATATATATATATATATATATATATATATATACCACTTAAGTACCCTAGCTAGGTGAATTGAGGTGTGAAAAGTAAACATGATCATGAAATTATCTTGAGAAGATTTTAGTGATCTCATGGTGAATTGCACTTGAAACTTTTGGCAATAAATTGAGTGGTTATTGGGTCTCATCAGATATAATCTAGATATATCCACTTGCATATTTCAGGATCCTTTTGTGGGTCTACCGTGTTTTTTTTTTCCTCGTCCATAAAATTTCATTTACTGATTGAGTGAAGATTTAGGTTCTATATGTGTAACTCTCAACTGATTTTATGTATATTTAGTGGATATAGCTATAGTTATCAAATAATATGATTAAAATCATTCCTACCTATAACAATCCGAAAAAATATATATGTACATTTGAGCATCTACCAACAACTTGAGGTATCTAAAATGATTGTGGATTAAGAATTACTGGATAGCTTGTATTCGAAGAATCATGGCTGAACTAGCTGAGCAAATAGCTTAACTAATTGCCCGATGATTTATTGTCTTACGTAGAGGATTCTACAGATTGATCTTGAGGCGAATCTCTATTAAATTATGTCAATTTTTTGCTTGATTTATTTTTGTGCGATTTTATTGCTCTCGGTTACGTAAAATTAGAGCGTCTAATTCTTAATGACAAAAACAAACCCTGGCTTGTTTCTAAACTTTTGCTATTTGTCAACAGTTTTTAAGAATTTGTTAGGCAAAAAAAGGATTTACAAAACACCTCCCTGATTATTAAACTAATTGTGTTCTTGTATGTATGCTGACATCCTATAATCACCTTACTAATAATTTGTTTATCTATGTGGATATACCACAACACAGAATCACCGCTAAAATCTTTTACTAACCAAAATTCGTTGTCTAATATTGTTACGCTGATGAAGAAATCACTTTATGTCCTTTCGTTATGTAAACTCTAGGTAATTTGTTTATATCTGATTAGTCTTTTAGAAAGGCCCATTTAAAACTTTATAATATTACTCATATATATGCACATATATATGTGTGTGTGTGTAAACGAAGTGACAACAACTGATGAATACAATATGGTTGTATAAGCATCAAATATTTCATTTAGTTAGGGAACATTTGGACATTTCATGAAAACGAAATTACTCAAATTTCGTTTTTCCTTAAATTATACTTAATTATAGCATTTTCTTAATGTAAACTATTAATTTAGGCATTATGTCGTTTCAATAGTCTTTAAAATAATAATTTCAGTAATACTTAATAATTAATATTTGTGACGGTTGCTTGCATCACATATAATTCCAGAAATTTCAAATCAATATTTTGTGTCAATTCAGCTCCTCATGCTTCCAAAGGAATATATCGTTGGGGACACTGAAAAGGACAAAAGTATAGTTTGTTGCTCTAATGTGATTTAATTAAAAGAAATACAGTGAACTAAATCCCGCTTGATCCGTTTGACTCAATTTTGTTCTTTGCTTAACTAATACGAAATTATAAGATGCTCTTTGTGTATGAACTTAACGTCTATACGTAACAATATCACTTGACATAATCCTAATCCAATTGGTTAATTGCTTCATCTACATTATAACTCCTTGATTCATAGATAATTAGATCCCACATTTTTATGTCTCTCTCTTTTTTTAACCTCTTACGGTATTAATAACTAACTAATACTAGTAATATACTCTTCTAATACTATTTTTAAGTGAATATCCTAATACTAAAATTTTCTTGCTATATATTGTGTGTGTGATATATATATATATATTATATACATATAATCATACAAAAATATTCCCAAGTTTTCTAGTGCATTTTCAATGAATTGATACAAAACCGTATAGTACTTTTGCCTAGAGAATCTTATCTCATATTATTTAAAACTACTTCGGCAATATTGTCGCCGTTTTATTGGACTATCTTGCTAGGATAAAGAAAATTGCACAGATGTAAAACAAGTAGTAACTGTATTACACATTATTATATATATATATAACCTTTGTCTTTTTTTATTTTTATAAAACTATATATATACACATATTAATATGTTTCCATATTATTACTGCGGGTACATGCACCTCACCCTTTATTTGCTTGATGTCAGCACTCATCATTCGTATTTTGACATAAATATATATATATAATTCAAAGCACGAGGAAAATATTCATTGATTCTCCGACGTCAAGTATATGAAAAAAAAAAAAAAAAGAAACAATAATAATAATATGAAAAAACAATTATATTTCATTTCATGCAAGCGTGTTAACGAAACAAGGTCTTTTTCTAGGTTGCGACGGATTCAGGGATTAGTTAAGGAACACAAAGATCGGTATTCTAATTTTCATTTAAATGTGTATGTAGATTAGTTATGGCGTTTAAAACATTACAAATACGTAGATAAAATGAATAATTAAAAAGACAAAAATATGGATTGAGATGGAGTGATGGGGATGAAAGCGAGGGGTATTCCTGTAGCTTGATGCGAGTAATCCACCACACATCGATGTGAAGATGCTGAGAAGTGACTTTTGCTTGGATGGATAGCAAGCTAAAGCTTTGAAAGTAGTATTTAAATCATTTTTAAAAGAGACCCTTTAAGAGGATTTGAAAAGGAGAAATGATTATTCTTAGCTTTAAGGAGGAGCAATGGAGTGGGCATTTTGGGCCTACCATGGTTTTTGTGTTTTTTTTTTTTTTTTTTTTTTTTTTTTTTTTTTTTTTTTTTTTTTTGGAGTTGTACTACTTAAATTAGTAAGAGAGAAGGAAAATTAAATTATATTTTGGGACTTTGCCTTTATAAGCATGGTTGGTTAACATATTAACTCATGGATGAAATGTCTCTTTACTAAAATCTCTCTCTTTAATTAATAATAACGTAATAGTGCATGTATATGATAATTTTGGTCACTCTCCTACCCTATATTATGAATCTTCTGAAGGACCCTTTTTTCCTCATTGGGACAGGTACATGATATTCTTAAACAAAAAATTGAACCTTTTTCTATATATGGACCCCTCTCTTGATTAATTGATTTTGGGATTTGGTAACAAGATATTGTGGATATATATATATATATATAATTGCTCCTTTAATTACTTCCTGCAAAAGTTCAAATTAATATGCGCTTTTTCTGTAGTTTTGTCAGCTTATAACTTTTTTTATAAAAAAAAAAAAAAAAAAAAAAAAAGAATGGATGGATGGATGGAGAGAAGAAAATGGCCTTTATGGATTAAAATTGACAACTACTGAAGGTTCATCTTGACACTAAAAACTATACTAATTGGATTAATATTTTGAAGCTCTTAAAAGCTATAGCAATTTCTTGCAATTCGGATTTAACCGGGCATTTTATTTCTTGCGGCACATATATAGATAGATTTTGTTGCGTCTCTCCTTAATTATGAAAGAATAACACACCGTGAAATAGGTTTGTGGCTACAAGCCTTAGATTATTATGAATAATTCCATTTCTATTGAACATATTTCCAGCTGAGATATTTTCTTGCTTGGTAAATTTCTGATAGATTTTCTTTTTTGCTTCTTCTGTTTCTTTCTTCTTTCTTCTTCTTCGGTTTTTTTTTTTTTTTTTTTCACATGAAAAATCATTAATCAATCCACAATCATCAGGACAAGCCCATTTGCTCAAACAATAACACTAAATCGTATCAATCTTGCTCTGTTCCAGTGTTATGGGCCTAGCCTTAGCTGATTCGTAACAATCATCAAGGGAAATTTGTTTTTTTTTTTTTCGCCCTGTTAGTCCTAGAGTTGTAAGTATTGTAGCATTTTGGTCTCTAAACACTTAATTTTAACAAGTTACTCCCTTTTTTTTTTTTTTTGAAACAGCCCTTAGATTGAATATACCTAGATATTATGTAGCATATTTAAAAATATTTGACTTAATTGCATTAGCTTAGTATATTTTAATAGTAAACGTTTATTATTCTTAATAATTAGGCCTCTTTTCAATTTGAAAAAAAAAATTTATTAATTGGGTTTTTTTTTTCAGAACATTCGATTTTTTTCTTATAGTTAAAACTTAGTACAAAATAGTAAATTTCATTTAAAAAAAAGGATTCAATTTGCTTTTTAAGTTTTAAAAAATATCTGTTTCCTATTTTCATGTTAAATTCACCTCTAATTTTTTTTTTTTTTTAACTATTCTTACGTTGTTTAAGGGGGGAAAAAAAACTTTTTATTTAAAAAACATAATGGTATGATATGTTTACACCCGGTTACAGCTTCCCTGTTCCATACTTATTTTCTAAAGCGTTCTCTTAAAATTTTGGCAAATATCCAAACTTATTTTCTTCAAAATAATTTTTATTTGCGTCTATATGTAAATGCACGTAATTCTCAGATAAATACATAATATCTAGGCACGTAATTCTCAAATAAATACATGTAAATTTGCAAATATATTATTCAATGAAAGATTTATTCCATTCTCTTATTTAAAAAATAGTTTTACAGCCGAAAAAAATTACTTGAAGAATAATTTTATGTATAGTTCTTAGCTAAAATAAAATATGTACAAAACATTTTAATTTGTGAAAAAAGTTAAATACCTTTTTCCAGTTGTTATTAGATATCTATTGGCCTAATCTAAAATATTTGCCTAAGGCCTCCTATTGTCTTGAGTCGATCCTGGCTTTTGGCATCCCCTCGCTTTCTTTCTTATACATGCTTCCTCTCTCTCTCCTCCGCCTTCTCCATTTTTTTTTTTAAATTTCATCCAGGGTATTTATGTTCTTTTCTTAGTCAAATAGATCGTTGATAAAAAAAAAAAAGGGGGTACGGATTGATTATAAATCTACAATATTGAGATATAAATTTGGGGAGTTTCTCCCTATGGTCAGAAAAATTTTATTTTTTTCAGCCATCTTCAGTCGTTAGATTTGCATCAGAAACTGTCGGCTTTACATACTTTTTTAATCTCATTTGATATTTACTAAATCTAACCATCAGAAAACTGGTCCTACCGGTAGGATGGCCTATCAGAGACAGTCTTTATAAATTTGATACACTTTGAAATACAATTTGATATAAATTTGTTTTTCTTCTTTTTGAGAAGGATCAGTACTTTTCTAACCGTTAAATTTGGTCAAAAAATTAATGAGATTGAAAAAGTATGCAAAATAAATAATTTTTTATGCAGATATGACGGCTAAAAATAACTGAAAAAAATTAGAACTATCAATAGTTCATTTTTTCTAATCTTACGGGAGAAATTCCATTTTTAATAACTTTAAAATACAATGTAAAAGATGGAAAAGAAAAACGTTTCATTTTTAACTGACACAATGTATTGAGACCATAAGCACACAGTGGACGAGCAAAAGTATCGCAAGTAGCTTAAATAAATTAAAAAAAGGGGGGTATTGCACGTAACTCCTCCATGCAACTCTTTTATGTGCTTCTCCCAATTTGTGTCTGTCCTTTTCCAAGTTTACAAACAAAAAAATGCAACATATATTTTACACGGGCAAGCTTAATTCTAAGAGCAAAAATATTTTTTAAAAGGGACCTTTTCGTATGCTAATATATTGGTATGCTTAGTTTTTTAACCGTTAAATCTGCATAAAATCACGTAAAATTAAAAAGTATGTAGATTTAACGGTTAAAAAAAATCTAATTTACCTATACACCGACGTATAGAATATATAATTTTCTTAGCTCTCATAGGGAGAGAGAGAAGGCAAAAGAAGAATATATAGAAGGAGATGAGTGATAACTCTAAGAAATTAGAGTTATTCACTGGTTTTATAGCTTAAAATTGCGTGACCATAAGTGATTTTTCTAGTTTATTGTGTGTTTTAATTTAGATTTATAGAGTTTGCACTTACTTTGGCTTAATTTCGTATTGCTGCTCCTCTTGAAGTGAAAGTTGGTAATTTGGAAGTAAAATGAGGTGAAAAAAATTGACTAAGGTTGTGTACGCACCTTGCAGGAAATTTCTGGGCTAAAATGCTGCGGCATTTTAGGCAACATTCTGAGAATAGCTGGCAGCTGATTGACGTCAGCGCACTAGCTGGAGAAAGCAGACAAAAAGGAATCCGTGTGAGCTAGCCTAGGAGGTGTCATTTGGGTCCACTGTGCACAGCAGCAGTGACACCTCAGCCCTTGTGTTGCCCTAGAAGGGAATATTTTTCTCAGGACAAGTTGGCAGCCGCCAGGGGAAAAAAAGAAGAGAGAGAAACGGGACTGAAAGAGAAAAGGGAGGACAGAGACTATTTTTCCCACAAAGAGAATACACAGAATACCTACTCTCCAGAAAACCAAAAAAAAAAAAGCACTACTCAGAGAGGAAAAAGCTTCTTACGAGAGCTGAATAAGGCAGGAAAAACAAGTAGTATTCAGCCCAAAAGGAGAATACAGAGACGTGAGAGCTGGAAGTTGAAGGACATTTTTGGCCGGCCACAGAGGAATCCAAGATCCAGCTGAACTTGTACTTCTTCTGTTAGCTTAACTCTCTTTTGTCATTTAGCTACTAATTTTAGCTATGGATTATACTGGAGCTTTGAATCTTGTAAATCTCATTATGAACTAACTTGTTTTATGTAGGTTTGCTAATGGAACCAATATTGTAAGAATGACAAGTTGTTTCTGAGATGCTATTAATTTGCTATTCCTGTTCATTTATGTGAGCTAATGTCTATTTCTATTCTTGACTGGCCATCAATTTTAGGATACAAGATTAAGATTAATACTGGAAGGGTTAATTTTAATCAGATTAGCATGAATGATGCTTGTTCAATGAACTTACTGAGTTGTTGATTAGTGGATGGTATAGGAATATATTATTCATCTCGCATAAGCACACACAGTGGACGAGCAAAAGTATTGCAAGTAGCTTAAATAAATTAAAAAAGGGGGGTATTGCACGTATCTCCTCCATGCAACTCTTTTGTGAGCTTCTCCCAATTTGTCTCTGTTCTTTTCCAAGTATACAAACAAAAAAATGCAACATATATTTTACACGGGCAAACTTAATTCTAAGAGCAAAAATATTTTTTAAAAGGGACCTTCTTGTATGCTAATATATCAGTATGCTTAGTTTTTTAACCGTTAAATCTACATAAAATCACGTAAAGTTAAAAAATACGTAAATTTAAGGTTAAAAAAACCTAACTTATCTATGCACCAATATATAATTTTCTTAGCCTTCATAGGGAGAGAGAGAAGGCAAAAGAAGAATATATAGAAGGAGATGAGTCATGAGAGAGACAGTTATTATTATCATGATCCTTTTTTGCAAATGAAGATTATAATTGAAAATTTACATAGCTAATAATCAGCTAGCTCCAAGAACTTGCCCCACCAGGAGGGAGTGATTCTTCATCAAAATATCTGTAGTCCCCAAAGCACATGACTTTTTGAGTGCTGATATTATTGAAGGGGCTACAATCAACCAATTCATTGATTTGCTGATGATCATCATCACGATGGCCTTCTTCACTCACGGTCGTACGGAATTGAAATTCTAGTGCCGGAACAAGGTCATCCTCGGCCTGTGCTGTCAAGGCTTCCATAGAATTTGTATCCAAACAGCCTGTGACAAGTCTAGATGACGCTGCACAAGCTGGCTGATCATGATCATTACAAATAGCTCGCGCTTGATGCTGATCACTGTATTCCAGTTTGTTTAACATTTCTGCAGCAGTGCCAAACATGTTTTGAGTGGTTTCGGGAAGTAGTACTGGAGCCTTGTGATTATTGGCAGACTGATCTTGATTAGAAATAATCCGAAAGTTGATTCGACGTCTCCGATCAGCGCCGGCTGCCATTTTGGAGTCGTCATTAGTACTGCTAGTAGAGACTGGAGGAGAAGAAGGCTTTTGATCATTTAGTTTCTTTTGAATCCATGAATTCCAGTAGTTTTTTATCTCATTGTCTGTTCTTCCCGGCAGGTATTTTGCTATATGAGCCCAACTGCAGTATAACAATTAGTTGATTCATGTCATATGGCACAATCAGAAATACAGTGACGGAGTCATGAATTTTTGTTGGTAGGATAATAATTAAAAGATAATACTAAATTATTAATGTTTAGTGAGGGCTAGAGGTATATTAATATAATAAATTACACATTAATATATATGTATTTTTAGAATTAAGATATATTTGTCATCGCTAAATGTAATATTCAAGTACTAAAGAGTACTGTTTCTTGAGGTAATTTGAAAGGAGTTTAAAGCAAATTAGAAATTAAAGAGAGAGGACATAGATGGGCATATATGTAATTTTAATGTGATATTAGGCGTCATTTTTTTTTTTTTTTTTTACAAACTGTAGTAGCCACAACTTTACAGTGACATTATTGTCTCATTCATTTCACCGATTCAAGTTTTGATACAGTAAAAAGCTCTAAAAAATAGTCACATCTAACTTTTTTATTACAGTAAAAAACTTTCACATAAAATCACATCTCAATTTGAATTAAAAACTCGAATCAGCGAACTAAACAGGCTCTACATGAACATTATTTTAGCAGATTGAAACTGATGATGAGGAGAAACAGAAAAATATAAGTGTGTAGAGTACAATAATAAAATAATGACATGTTACTTAAACCTGTTCCCTAGAGCCCCATGAAGGGAAATGATCAATTTCTCTTCTTCAGGAGTAAAACTCCCTCGTTTGATATCAGGCCTTAAGTAATTTAGCCATCTAAATCGACAGCTCTTGCCACATCTTTGAAGCCCTGAAATTAACCCCAAAAAAAAAAAAAAAAAAAAAAAAAAACATATCAATATATTGAGAAAATTGGGTGGTATGCCCAACTTTATATGTTTTCAGATTTAAGCCGTGTTTTGTTGACATTTGACTAATTTATTTGTTTGAAACAAATCTAATATAACTTCAATGTTTATGGCGATTTTTTGTGGCATTCCTCAAAATTTATCCATGTTTTATACCACTATTATTGGCTCAACACAGAATTTGCCTAACACTAAAGAAAAATAGAGAGGAGAGAGAGAGAGAGAGAGAGAGAGAGAGAGAGAGAGAGAGAGAGAGAATATTACCAGCTTTCTCAGGAACTCTACTCCAACAGGCATAGCCATTAGCAGTGATGTATCTGATGAGCTTTTGGTCTTCCTCGGGAGACCACAGGCCTCTCTTCACCTTTCGTTCTTTGCAGCAGTGATGATGTCCCATAATATTATTAATAGTAACTGTTCTTTTGCACGGGAAATTCTCTAAATCTGCTTTGCTATAGTTTTGTGTTACGAGTTTCTTGTTTTTTCACTTCGATACCCCTTTATAAAGTCCAAATAATGTTAGAAACGGACAAATGATCACAATTAAATAATTAATTATATAAGTTAGACTTTTCAACATGTAGCTAGGGGATAATGAGCGCGTTTGGAATTAGTTTTAAAATAATTTTATTTTTTGTATGAAAATAAAAATAAAAACGTTTTTAATTTCAAATATAAATTATTTTTGAAAATGTGTTTAGTAATTTTATTAAGAAATTATTTTCAATGCAAAAAATTCATTAATGTCTCTCTTTTTTTCTCTCTGTTCGAGAGAGGAGAAAATAAAATTAAAAAATAAAAAACGATTAAAAGTTATTTTTCATTTCTCTATCATTTTACACTAAACAAAAAAATCGTTTTCATTTTTATTTTTTATCTTTGTTGCGTCAAATGTCATTTTAAGAATGTTTTTTTTTCCTTAAAAAATGTGAAAAATAAAAACAGGATGAATTCTAAATATGGCCAATAATATGTACGTTGGATTACTTTGCAGGATAAGTTCCATCCAATCACCCAATGTTGACGTTCCATACATGTACTCTGTATATGTGCTGGATTTTGAACAAAAGCTCCATCGTCTTTTAACATTTATACTTGATAATACACACACACACACATGAAATTTTAATGTCTACCAAAGTGAAAAAAAAAAAAAAAAAGGAAAAGAAAAAAGGAATCAATGAGAAGAAAAAAAAAAAAAAAAAAAAAAGGAAAAAGCAATTGTACATGAATGTGGGATATAACAAGCTTCCCTAGTACCACAATCGAATATTACTATATATCTTGAGTAACTTTGGCATAAGGAATAATTTTTGTTTAGTTTAATCAAGAGTTTTTTGTTTTTTGTTTTGTTTTTTGTTTTTTTTTGTTTTTTTTTTGTTTTTGTTTTTTTTTGTTTTGGGTGAATTGAGACTTGACTTGATCTGTGTATAAGTGGCCCTACATATATCTGAAGTACTCCTCAGAGTAAATATTGGAATTGCTATAAGCCTTGCTTGTTTAGTTGTACCGTTTTTCTTTCATTTCTTTATTATTAGGATTAATATAAGAAATAATATGTATGCTTTCCCTTTTTATGCATAAGGATTAGGACTATTCATAAACCGCAAAACCCGGAGGCTCAACCCACCCCAACCCAACCTAAAAAATATAATTTCTAGTATTATATTTTTTTTTCGCTCCATTAAATGTCTGGCCCGAAATTTTAGAGTAGGGTGTGGGTTGAGCCTATAATGGCTCACACATCCCAATCCAACCCGCGCTCTAACTTGCCTCCTCTAATATCTAACCCTAAGCAGACAACTCATTTCTACTCTCTAGTTTCTTCATGTTTGAATTAAGCCTCTATGTTTGCTTTATGTTAAGATAATTTATGAGTGTAGGCTAATTTATGTTTACTTTATGTTTGATGTTGGATGGACTACTTTGCTTCATGTTTGATGTTTGATTGAACTTTGGATTTCTATCTGTTTGAATGTTAGAGTTATTATTTCTATTTGATGTTGATGATGAACTTTGAATGTTGGATTGAACTTTGAGTATGATTCTTTGAATGTTAAAACTGACCACCCCACCCACCTCGCACCACCCCAATCCAACCCAAACATCATTAGGTTGTGAAATTTTTCTAACAACGTTGGGGCTCAATATGTAGAACCCGCACCCTTTGAGGCGGAGAAAAAAAAAAAGCCCTGCCTCACACCAACTCAACCCATAAATAACTCTAATAAGGATTAAGTCGATAATTAATAGGATGATGATTCTATTGGCGGAGATAGCATGGCAACAAGGATATCTGCTCTAAGTCTCCCTCATTTATAGTCCAAGCCTTAAAATCCCCACATCCTCACAAAATGAGTTTCAGCTTTGAAGTGGTAATATCCATCTTTGATCCAATAAACTTGTAAAACCTGGGTTGTGAATGGGTGAGAATAGGTTTAGGTCTTAATCATTGCGCAGCTTAAATCATATTGATTCCTCCCATAAGTGCAGACGGCGCATGAGAACACTAACGATTCCCTATTTTAATTGACGCGCCATGACAGAAGTGTACTTCACCGTATCATCCACTGCATATGGCTGGATCAAGATTGAGTAATTATTCAGCTCCTCAAGACTCATGGCATAAAAAAAATGTGGTTATTCCCAAAAGATCATTGAGGAAAACAAAAGGAGAGTTTGCATAATCCATACGTCTTTGCTGAATTAAGAAAGAGCACCTACAAGGCATAGCGTGCAACAATAAAGTCTGATTGTGATTCATTGTGGGCATCAGTCGGACAAACTTTTGGATGATCTTGACGGTAAGTCATTTTATACAACCTTTTGCCCTCATATAATCCTTTCGCTATATAATTATATATATATATATATATGCAATTACCATTTCAACTTCAAAATTGATATCCTTAATTACATGTAAAAATCATGTCACAAAGATCTAGTTCACTTGTATTGCATGTGTGTGCCGCCATTTAAAGCACTATTTTGTGTTTATGGACTGTTTAGTGAATTTTCTAGCTAGAATAGTGGTAATTTTGACATTATAATGAGATTTATCAATAATACAAGATCACATAATATATTATAAATTACAATCTTTATGCTTCATCAGTACCAGCTCAACCTTATCCAAATTCCAAAGTACAGCTCATTTAATTACAATAACGCACGAGTATCGGTATGCTTGTACGTGAGGTCCTAATTAATTCAGCGTCGATTCTTTACAAAATCAATAATAACTCTTTCTCTATTCTCATGAGAAAACATTAACCACATATGTGTGTATATATATAAATATATATATATATATGTTACAGGTCGAGAGATCGGCCATCCTCTTGAGTGGCAGACGTCGAGGACTGCTCGTAGAGGACCGAACGTTGGCACCGAGGCAACGCCATGATCTACGCCGAGAGATCGTGCGCGGGAAGGGGCGCCGGCCGCGACGCCTCGGCGCCCCGAGTCCACGACGCCAGTGCATCACTGTCGTACCCTCTACCAGCTGTCTTGTCAACTCGAGGAGGGAAGTGCTGATTCGATTGCTACTGCAAAGGTCAGAGGGTCAGGCAGCAGATAGGAAGGATCAGCCGCATTTCCCGGGATAGTCATCATGAAAATCCACCTACTTCACGATTACCGAGAACAAATGATGGCTTCCTCCTTGGGAACGGAGAATACACGTTCACATGAAAATGCCTATAAATAGAGCCAATGAAACCCAGAAATGGGTTAGACACCACTTCATTGTAAAAGAGAATTTGTAACCAGTTGAAAGATTAGTGCATGCACAAGTGGATTAGGCAAAGAATTACTGCTGAACTACTATAAAATTGTTGTCTCCTTTACGTTATATTTCAGTTTTCATATCTGATTGAACCGTGAGTATTTTTGGGAGAGATAACTACGAGTCGCCGGAAAACACCGTCAACAATATATAATTTTATATGCTGCGCAGCCTGATGATCATATAGGTAAGGTAGCCAAAGTTATAATAACTTTCGCAAAGTCCTTTTCAGGATAACAACAAATAAGAGATAGGAGAGCACCTACGAAAAGGGGAAAAAAAAATTAATAAGAGATGTGAGAAAAGAGATAAGATTACTAGATTTGAGCTTTTTGCTCTATTATTGATGAAAGATAAATGGGTCTATAAGCCAAAATAGACTACTAGAGTTAATCGGTCAACCATTAGAAAACCCCACTAGGCATGATTTAATCGATTAATTGAAATCTTAATTGCTTAAATACTCTTAAAGGACATGAATATATAGTTTATTTAGTGTGTTGTGTACATTAGAAACAAACCCAATTTTCAGCTCGCGATTAGACCTAAAATTGTCTCAATGCCATATAGTTAAGTATTCATTATGGTATCAACATATGGAGACTTAAGCATTGTACATAATTTCATAGACAAATATGTACATAAAGGATCTAATTTTTCTTTTAGTGACGACAAATTAGATAGATATACTTGCTTGGAGAATTGGAAACATAAGAGAAGTATGAAAAGTATGGGCACAAAAATCGTCTCTTAAGAGTGAGAGATACTTTAAGGAGAGCAACACTAGAATGGATCGGCCACTTTTTATTTATTTTTTATTTTATTTTTTTTTTGATAATGTTTTATCGACCACTTTATAACATGAGAAGAAGTCTTGGGACTTCTCCTTTAAAGGCCACAGTTTTGAAAAGTAATACAAAGTTATGCCTTATGATCGTACCAAAGTCTAACTCTGCGTTCTTATCCAATACAGAAACCGGCCAATAATATAAGTACAAAACATTTTGTTATACTTACTCCTATAATTTTAGGAAAATGGAATTCATCTTATGGGAATAAATCGCCACAATCACATAAATAGTGAATCCCACTAAATGTAGTCCCACCGATTCATTTAGTGAGAATTTCACTCATGTATAAATATACAGTACTCATAATCTTAACGTATAAGTTTTTTCTCATATAGTCACTATATCTATGCTATAATAATCACTGCTTCAAATGTTTATCTATAGAATGACGCTTCTCAAAAACAAAACAAAATAAAAACACGAGAACGTTTGGTTGGAAGATTTAAACTATGTGATTCGAATCATTTTCGATATAGGTGAATTTTTTATGAGAGAAAATACTGTAGCGAACCATGAATCATAATTCGAATCCCTCCACCAAACATCTTATAAAATTGAGCAAGAATAATTTATCACATATTTATATATATTTTAGAAAAACAATGAATTTTTGTGTAGCATATGAAATCTTCAAAAATTGGGTTGTTCATACACTCCGTCCATTATTGTGTGATTGATTCGAATTCAAAATCTTTTATTGAGAAAACAAGTCTTCTTAATTAACACCCCAAAATTCCTTTTATGGGCCTTTATTTTCAGCACTAACAAGCTATCTGCTCATACGTACTTTTCTCTGATCCAAGCTGCAGAGTGAACTTTTC